AGTACCCTAAAATGTATTTTCAATTAAACTTTTTACTATGAGAGAATTGTACCCCACCCCCAATTATATAAAGTAACATGAGAGCTCCTTTGTACCCTTTACCCAGTTTCCCCAAATAGTAACGTATTAGAAAACGTAGTGGAAAATCACAATTGGGATATTAATATTGATACTGTCAAGACACAGAACAGATCCATCACCATAAGGATCCCACATGTTGCCTTTTTATGGCCCCGTCCACTTCCCTCAGACCTCCTTAGTCCCTGGCAACCACTAACCTGTTCTCCATTATTATAACTTTCTCATGACAAAAATGTTATATAAACGGAATCCTATAATATGCAACCTTTTGGGATTCACGCTGTACAATTCTATGGAAATCCAGACAGGTTGTCGCATGTATCAGTAGTCCCTTCCTTTTAATGGCTGAGTAGTATTTCATGGAATGAATGTACCACAGTTTGTTTCACTGTTTACTCACTGAAGGACATCTGAGTTGTGTCCAGTTTGGGGCTATCATGAACAAAAATTCTATAAACATTAGTGTACAGGTTTTTGTGGGAACATGTGTTTATTTCTCTGGGATAAATGCCTAGGAGTGCAATTGCTGGGTTATGTGGTAGTTGCATGTTTAATTTTTTAAGAAACCTCCAAATTGTTTTCCCAAGTGGCTGCACATAAATGTTTCCCTGTTTATGTTTTCAAGACTTTTGTCTTTGATTTTTCCAAAAACTTTAACTATCGTGTACCTTGGTGTGAATTTCTTGGAGGTTTATCCTGTTTGGGGTTCAGCTTTTTGAATTTATAAGTTTATGTGTTTTGCCAAATTTAGGAAGTTTTCTGTCATTACTTCTTTGAGAGGTTTTTCAGTGCTGATCTCCTTCTCCTCTACTTTCAGGACTCCAGTGACAAAAATGTTAGATCTTTTGTTATTGGCCCATGGGTCCCTGAGGCTCAGTTCATGTCTTTCAGCCTCCTTTTTTGCTGCTGACCAGATTAGGTTATTTATGTTGTTCTATCTTCAGGTTCATTGATTCTTTCCTCTGTCTCCTCCATTTTGCTGTTGAGTTTTCTTATTTTGGTTATTGCATTTTCTGGTTCTGAATTTTTAGTTTGATTCTTCATTGTATCTTCTACTTCTTTGCTAAGACTTTCTAATTTTTTTCATTTATTTCAAATGTGTTCATAATTGGTTGTTGAAGCATTTTTATGGTGGCTACTTTAAAATATTTGTCTAATAATTCTAACATCTCTGTCACCTCTGTGTTGGCTTCTGTTGATTGTCTTATTCAGAGTAATTTTTAATCAAAACATGGACATTTGGGGTATTATGTTGTGAAACTCTAGATCTTAATTAAACCTCCTGCTTTGGCTGATTGCTCGGATGCTGTTTTGGCAGAAGGAGGGAAGCTGACTCATGTCTGCCAAGTGTGGACAGAAGCTCAGGCTTCTCACTTAGCCTCCACAGAGACTCAAGGTGGGAAGGGCTTTTCATTTAGGTGGGAGGCAGTGGAAGCTCCTGCTCCCCACTCACTCCTCAGAGATGCCTCCATGGCTCAGAAGGGTAAGAGGGCTTACTTCTCCCAGATGGCTTTCACCAACATCACAGGGTCAGAGGACTTGGCCTCATTACTGCTGGGCACAGGTAAATGTCTTGATTTTCTACTGGGCTTCCACTTCTACCACCCAAGTCGGGAGGGGAGGGCTGACCTGTTAGTACAGAGTGAGGCTAGAAGTCTGGATTCCCCATGTGGTCTCCACTAATACTCCATCGGCAGGGTAGGAGGAGTTGTCCTACTTCCTGGCAGGGATGAAAGTCCAGGCTCTCTGGTTGACAACTTGCACATCACAGCTTGGCAGAGGGGAAGTCTTGGGTCCCTACTCTTTGCTGCTTTTTGGGGAGAGCGGTTTTTGTTTTGTTTCTTCTTGTTTGTGTTGTTGTTGTCATTGTTTTCCCATAGTGTTGGCTAAAGAAGAAATAGTGCCATCTTAAAATTTTCTGTCTTGCTAGGCTGCCTTTTTTCCTGGTCCTTTGGCTAGAGAGGGTAGGCTTTTGTTGGGGCTTTTTCAAAATCTGTGCTCGCTGGCATTTTCTGAGTTGTAGGCTTCTTCAGTTCGAAGTCTGGTATATATAAAACCCAATAAACAAAACAAAACAAACAAACAAACAAAAAAAAACATGGATTGCACCCTAATGTCCTTCCATGGGTCCCAAGGTCCCTAGCTGGGCTGCCTCCTTTCCACTTTTCAGAGTCTTCTTATGTTTGTTATATATGGTAATATAATGTCCAGGGTTTTCAATTGTACTTAGTGGAAGGGATAGGAAAGAGTACCCCTCCCACTACTCCAACTTCCTAGAAACAGAAGTCCAAAATATAATATTTTAAACACTAAGGTTGTTACATTTTAAGTTATTACAATTGAATCTTTTTAAATACTTACCAAAAGGCTTTGGTTTCCTTTTATCTATTAGCTTCTAAGTGGATTTCTGGGATATGCAATCATAATTTGGCTTGTGGGTACAAAAAAGAATTTTAATCTGATTTAGTTGTAGAGAGAAAATATCATTTCCTTTCAGTGAGTAATGATCTCAAGATGATATATAATTCCTTATCAGGTGAATTGGA